TCACTGAAAGTTCAAGGCCTGCCTCATCTACATAGCAAGACACTATCTCAAAAACCAAAACAATGGCTTTCCAGTTTGGGCCCTGGCAGGATGGCTCCGGCGAAGAAGGGTGGCGAGAAGAAGGGCGGCGAGAAGAAGGGCCTTTCTGCCATCAACGAGGTGATGACCCGGGAGTACACCATCAACATCCACAAGCGCATCCATGGCGTGGGCTTCAAGAAGCGTGTTCCTCGGGCACTCAAAGAAATCTGGAAATTTGCCATGAAGGAGATGAGGACCCCAGATGTTCGCATTGATACCAGGCTCAATAAAGCCGTCTGGGCCAAAGGAATAAGGAATGTTCCTACCGTATCCGTGTACGTTTGTCCAGAAAACGTAAGGAGGATGAGGACTCCCTGAACAAGCTGTATACATTGGTAACCTACGTGCCTGTTACCACGTTCAAAAATCTACAGACTGTCAACGTGGATGAGAACTAATCTGCTGAATGTCAAATAAAGTTGGAGAGCTGGAAAAAAAAAAAAAAAAACCTAAACAATGAAAAGGGATAAAAGAAGGAAAGGGGAAAGGGCAGGCACTATACACATCTCAGTTTCCTAGCCTGCTTCCTTCTGTCTCCCTAAGCTTCTACGCCAGTATACATTTACCCTCTGCCTTCCATACTGTCATTATGAATAAAGCATTCCTTCTATCAAACTTATAACTCCTCCACTTGTGGCCATGATCCCTACCCCTCTCCCTACACAATTAATCTTCTTTGACATACAATTCTGCCCCAGGATGTCCCATCTTTAAAATGCCCTCCATGAAACATGACTAGCCCTCTCCAGTCATGGCCTTAAGTTTAGAGTTGTCTCCATGTCCTCATCCTCACTTTTTCCCCTCAATGTTTCTGACAGGTCTTTAAACTCCTTCTGTGGCTACCCTGTGACTCCTGATTTACCATGTTCATTCTGACTTCCCAGTTGCCTCTGCATTTCCTCTTCCACTTTTGTGTGACCTTAAGATACTTTTATTTCTGTGTGTGTGAAACTCATCTTTTCCGTTACACTAGCTGGCTACAGAACCATAGGATCTGTGTGCCTCCTTCCCCACAAGCACTGGAGTTGTAGAAGTATACCACCATGCATGATTTTCACAGGGGAACTGCAGATCTGACCACAGGTCCTCATGCTTGTACAACACTGAGCAATCACCTGGCCCTTATTTATTTTCTTTGTTTATTTTATATTTTTCTCTTACATACAGCATATTTTTATCATATTTTCCCCCTCTCCAAACTCTCTTCTGGATTCTCTCCCACTCCCCTACTTCATTCTCTCTCTTCCACAAAAGAAAAAGGGCAGACAAAAAATGAAGCAAAAGCACACATGCTTTTTAAAAATAAGCCTTTTGTTCGTTTGTTGTTGTGTTTTGGGTTTTTTTTAGTTTTGGGGGGTCTTTTGGAGATTTTTGCTTGTTCATTTGTTTTTTCAAGACAGGGTTTCTCTGTGTAATTGCCCTAAGCTGTCTTGGACTTTGTAAAGCAGGCTGGCCTTGAACACATACAGAGCTATTTCTGCCTCTGCTTTCCAAGTGCTGGGACTAAAAGCATGTGCCACTATGCCTAGCAAGGTGGAGCCTTTTATATTGGCCAACTACTCCTGGGTATAGGACCTGCCCAGGAGTGTGGTTGCCATACCTAATGAGTCTTCATTGGAGAAAACTAGTTTTCCCTTTCCCAGCAGGTATCTGTTACACATATCTTCTTGGCTAAGGATGGGGCTTTGTGCCTACCTTCTCTTCTCCAATATACCTAGTTTGAGCTTCTACAGGTCTTGCAATGTGCTACCATGGTGTCTAGCTTCATATATGTCTGAATGATACTGTTTCCTTGGAGTTATGCACCACCTCTAGTTTTCACAATCCTTCTGCCTCCTCTTCTGCATAGTTCCTTGAGCCTTGAGGGGAATGGTTTGATAATATTTCACTTAGGGCTGAGTGCTCCAAAATCTCTCCCTCTCTGCACATTGCTCATTTATGGATCTCTGGGAAAATTCCTGTCTTAGGGTTTCTACTGCAGCAATGAAATACCATGACCAAAAATCATGTTGGCTTACACTTCCAGATCATAGTCCATCATTGGAGGAAGTCACAACAGGAACTCAAGCAGGGCTGGAACCTAGAGGCAGGAGCTGATGGAGAGGCCATGGAGGGTTACTGGAGCTGCTTATTGGTTTGCTTTCTCCTGGATTGCTCTACCTACTTCCTTACAGAACCCAGGACCAGCAGCCCAGGGAAGGCATCACCTGCCATATGCTGGGCCTCTCCCATTTATCACTAATTGGGAAAATGCCTTACAACTGGATCTCATGGAGGCATTTCCTCAGCTGAGGCCCCTTCCTCTCTAGCTCCTAGCACCTGTCAAATTGGCACACAAACCCAGTCAGTTCAATTTCCATCTACTGAAAGAAGCTTCTCTGATGAGGGATGAGTGAAGCACTGATCTAGGGATATAGCAGGTTATTATTAGGAGTCATTTTATTGCTATGTTCTTTTGCAAAATAATAGTAGTAGGTTTGTCCTGGGGTCCAGTTGCACGTTCTTAGCCACTTTAGTAGTTTCAGGTTTCAGTCCCAGTTCACAGAGTGGGCCTTAAACACAATGTACAAAAAAAAAAAAAAAAAAAAAAAGTGATTGATACTCTTATAACATTTGTGCCCCTATTACATCATATTTTTGCAGGCAAGTTGCTGTTGTAGCTGGGTAATATTTATGACTACCTTTTCCTCTGGTATCATGAGAAACACCATCCAGTACCATGAGCACTACTCAGTAGGAGTTAAGCAACAGATCAATTTCTTATTGTTTGATGACATAAATGATATCTTCAGCAATAAGTCCTTACTGTCAGGTTGTGGAGAGTAACCAATAGCTTTAGCAATACTGTGATGTTGGGGGAAGGTGTCAATAGGACTCTTTTGGCCAACAACTTAACAAGATGTAACCCATTTTGGGCACTGGAGGCTTTACTTGGTGGCTTAAGATATCTAGTTGGGGCATTATCTCTCCCATTATATGGTGAGTCCATTTAAACTCCTTTCATATATGTATATATTTTGGGAAGCTTCTGCAATAGTTTCTATAGGTTTTTAAAAAGGCAATTATGTTAGTTGTCCCTCTCCATACTTCCTCCTTTATCATGTCCTCCCATCCTCCTCCCCATTTAATATTTCTTTCCATCTGCACCTTTTTCTATGCTCCCTAGTGCTTCAACTTTTAACTTGACATTGCTTAGAGTCATAAGAGAAAAGAGTTCCATTTAAAGGGTTATCTTGACCAGATTGGCCTGTGGGTATTATCTTGTATTTTTTAATTGGCACAAGGGCTGGCCCAGTATGTGTGGTGTCATTCCCTGGGAAGGTGGTCTTGAGCTGTACAGGAAAGCTAGCCAAGCATAAGCCTTCGGAGTGAGCCAGCAAGCAGTGTTCCTTCAAGGATTCTGCTTTAAGTTCTTGTCCCACCTTGACTTCCCTCAGTGACGGGCTATTACCCATAAACTCTTTTGGTCCTAAACTTCTAAGCTTCTTTTGGTCAGAATGTCTGTTATTAAAACAACAGAAATGTTAAGTAAAATACTGGGCTATCCAACCAGTCTCTAGACTTTAAATTCTATTTAAATGTCTATTTTAGTCAGTTTAATGGTTATGACTCCATTTCTTTTATGCGAATGCCTATCCAATTTTTCAAGCTTGTGTAAAAGGCACTGAAAATATAACATGACCTAAAAATAACTTGATTGCCCTCTTCCCAATCTGCTTCTCCCTCCAAAATCTTATATATTATTAAATAGCATATTGCCTACTCAAATGTCTGTCAAAAATCTGAAACCTGTTCTTGAAACCCCCATCCCCCACCCCAACAAACTCAATGTCCAAACTTGTTTATATAATGCTAGACTCTCAGGATCGGGAAGAAGCCCGACCTTAAATCCAAAGTGCTTTCAACTCTCTTGCATTATATTTGGTAGTGTCTCACTAACCCAAGCAAGTCAAGGCTTGCTAGAGTCAGTAGAGAGACACATCAAAGGTTATATATAATTTCAGACGCTATTTTTACAGTCTATCATGTTAACCTTCATGTTTCCACTTCCTTTGCCACAAAGACACTAAAGCGATCTTTCTAAAAGACTTATGGACACACTCATGTCACTCTTTGGCCCAAACCCTACCAAGTCTTTATTTAAAATCTAACCTCAGGGGCTGGAGAGATGGGTCACCACTAAGAGCACTTTCTGCTCTTCCAGAGGACAGGTGTCTGGTTTCCAGCAACCGGATCAAGCAATTTACAACTGCCTTTAACTCTTAAGGCTTCCTTGGGCACCTGAATCTCTCTCTCTCCCTCTAATCTCCCCCCCCACCCCGCCTCTCTCTCACACACACACCCCTAAAACAGTTATCTAATCTCAGTCATAAACTGAAAACTCGGGATCTGGCATTGCTCAGTCTACCACACTGCACGGCATTTGGCAGAACACAAAAAATAGTATTTGTTGAATGGGCACAAACGCTTTGAGCTAATCTATGAGTTGCTACACTCTTCCCACGTGAGCAGGATACTCACACGAAATGTGAATTCCATATTGAGGAAAACTGGGTGTTTCTTTACACCCTACCTTACAACATCCTTCCTTCTTTTCCTCACTCCTACACTTGGAAAAAAAAAAAATAGAAGGCCTTTGGAAAACTTAGTCATCACTTCTTCACGTCTCACGCTACCAGCATGAGGAACAGCGCTGAAAGACAGAGTACTCCGCTCGCCAAGGACGAACAGTCAAGGTTCTGCAGGCAGATCCACAGAACGGCAAGCTGGGAACTGTAGTCTCCCAGGGAGACGTGAGGCTGGGGATGGGGGTGGGGGGAGAAATTCCTGGGGCATGCTGGGAGATGTAGTCAGGCTTCCTGTACGCCCAATAGGAAACGGGGCTTTCCGCGCTGCATTCTGGGAACTGTAGTCTTTCTGCTACCTCGAACCTTCGGGGTGAAGAGGCACCGGGCTTGCCGCCATCTTAGGTCTCGAGGTGCGGCGCCTGAGAGAGTCAGCGCGCAGGCGGGCTCAACCCTGGCTCCGGGCGGGCCCCGCCTCCAGGGTGCCCGGAGCCCGCCCCTCGCCCAGGCTCCGCCTTCCCCCACGTGTCTGCGGCCGAGGGGAGGCGCCTGAGCCGGAGCGGGCTCTCCAGCGGTCTGGCCCGGTCCTCACACAGGCTTCTGTCAGCGGCTCCTGGGAGCGTCCCCGGCTGCCGGATGCTCCCGCCCCGGCTGCGGCGGGCCGGGCTGGACGCTTAGTGCCCGGCTCGAGCCCTGCCTGAAGCGCCCGCGGGGGTGGCAGTGGCCTCCGCCCCGCGGAGACCGAGCGGCTGGAGGACGAGGCGGCGGCCACGGGGAGGAGGATGGGGGCTAACCAGTTAGTGGTGCTCAACGTGTACGACATGGTGAGTGCGGCCCCTGGCGACCCGCGCGAGCCGGCCGGCCGGCCCTCGGCGACGGGCTGGGACCCCGGCCCGCTGCTTCCTGCCTCGCGTCCCCGCCTCCAGCTTAGTTCTCGGGGGTGGGGGGAGGGGACGGTCGCGCTGCCTTCTAATCCCCAGACTGGCCGGCGCGCCTCCTGGAGGGCCGGGGTTTGAGTCTCCCCCGAGCCCTCAGCTCCCCTGACTGTGGGCCCGACCCCTGGGCCAATGAGCGGTGTCCTCTTCGAGGCTTGCGTCGCCGGGCGACCTCCCCGCCACCCACCCCCCTGCCCGCCCGGCTCCTGACCCTTGCCTGTCTCCAAAGGCTCAAGTCTCCCCACAACTCCCAAGGCCCTCGAGTGTAGAAAGTCACAGCTGCGATGCGGATGCTAGAGTCTCCCCAAAGGTGAACAGGAGCCTGCACACCCTGGTCTCCAAGGCAGCCTCATTAAAATGAATGAAGTTAAAATTTATCTCGAAAACAGCCCCGTTGAATTATTTAGAGATCACAGAGGTGCTCCTTTCCTGGATTCTGAAGACCACTTTCCAGGTGTTGCAACAGGTGAATGATGTGACCACTAGAGAGGGAAGGGAAGCCTTGTTTATTATGTCATTTAACTTTGAAGAACTGTGAACACACAGACTAGGGTTCAAAGACTGGTTCCCTGTGGTTGCAATTGCAAACCCCATAGAAGCACCACGTAGAGTATGATCGCCCCGGTTAGGTGCAAGTTGGGGTTTGTGATCCTGCCTTTGGTTATTTTTTTTTTTTTTTTTTTTTAAACAGAATCCTGGAAATTTCTTGTACATGGATTGACAGAGAAAAATTCTCCGTCATTATTTTCTGTTGGCTTAAAACTACTTAGAAGAAAAAATTCAACAGCCTTGGTTTTTATTTACAACTCTTAGCTCGTCTTTGTATTGTTTATAAGTTTTTAAACGAACTATTGATATAAAGGGATTCCTTATGCCATATCTAGGAGTTTGCATCGACAGGGCATATGGTCTGCCTGTAATTGGAATTGGGACTTCTAGTAGGTTCCAGTCTGGAGATAAAGGAGGTGGGCTAGCAGACTAGGAAAGTGAATCATGATGGAAAAAGTTGAATAACAAGAGATTCTAGAAGAGCATATGACTAACAGCCTACACTCCTGGTTAGAAATTATTCTCTGGATTTAAACTTTGTGTTCTGTTCCATGAGAATCCTTTCTTCAGACTTAATATAGCCCTTTTATTATTTTAGTGCCTCCTGCCCATCTGACTTTGGATTCTTTTGATGAAGACTATTATAACTGTCCCTCTGGATATGTTTTACTCTGAAGAATATATATTGAGATATCATCTGTATTTTTAATTAGGATTAGGCAGTGACCATGGTTTCAGAATCAAAAGAAAATCTGAAAAGCAGAGTTTTGCTTTTTCCATTAAATTGAAAAATTCATTACATGGCCTATAGTGTGTGTTGTGTGAATCTGGGAGAATCATTACTAATTTCAAAGTGGTAAGGGCTAGGGATGATATTCAAACCAGTGTTTTTTAGAGGAAGAGTGTTTTAAATGATATTAAAATATGAAGTAATTAAACATGTGACCTTCCCAGGTTATTAAAAGCAAGGGCTAGAATTTCTAGATGACAATCTTGATTCAGTATTGTCTCTAATGAATGATTCCCTTAATTATTTCTTACATATTGTGTTATTTCATCAAAAGGAAGAGAAGCATTTGGATAAAAATGTTTAAGGAACTATGAACACTTATAGAATTAAAAAACTTACCATTACTTATTTAATTTTGACCCTGTAGAACCACAGATAGGGTTTATTACCTCTGCCTTAAGGAATTTGGGGGTATCATAAGGAAGACACAAAGAGTTACAATGTAGAGCAGAATAGCATTATTTTAATAAGAGCAGAAGAGGACCCAGAGCTGACTATATTGTGGTTGTAGGTTCAGGAAAGCCTGAAATAGAAGGGAGTGAACTAGAACCATTGGTAGGGTCTTCAAGGGCAGAGATCAGTCAGTTTCTAAGGGTAAGAATTGGAAAGCACGGGCCAAACTAGGAACTTTGAACTAGTCCAGTTTTACTGGAGGTAGGATGCATGAGAGAAAACAACTGAAATCTCTATCACAGCTTTGTAGTAGAGTGAGTGAAGGATTGTGAGGACTCAGAGCCAGGGAAAAACACTTGTTTACCTCAAGGGGAACGGGATGATCACAGTCTTTAGGACAAAGCCAAGTGGATTAAAGTATACATTTTTACCATTATACCCATTTTTCTCAATTCAGTTTTCCTTTGTGATGTATTTCTTTTATCTTTGGTTATAATTTCTGTTCTTTGTAGATGCCTTTGATGATAATTGCTTTTGTTTATAAGCCTGGTGCATCAGTTGTTCCAAACTCAACCATTGGTTTTTCCTGTTGGAATCATTGATCAGTATTGTCATGTATCCTTATGTCTCTCTTCACCTGCTTCAGCTATGACTGTATTTTTCCTGTTCACTAGATGTGATAGCTATCGATCATTCCTCTTCTTCTATACCTACTACATATGTAAATATTAAGCAGGATTGCCTGTATAACTTTCCTTTTTGTGGAGGAATAATCTAGTCCTCAAAATATTATGTTAAATTATTACTTACTTTCTTTTTGGTGACTATAGTCCTCTGTATACTTTGGAGCAACCTACTACCAATAAAGTATAGCCAGGAGTCATTCTCTGAACCTTTGGAACGGATTATTTTTATATTCCTAATTTACCTGTATGTATAGAAAGTCAGGAAATTCAGAACTCTTACAGTTACTGGAATAAATCTTTGTTATAGTTGTTTTTAACATAGTCTTTATTTTTCAAAGATCCAGAATTTCTGTATGCTTTAGGCTATCTTAGCTACTAACAAATTTCTTAAAAATTATAATGTGCACCGGGCATTGGTGGTACATGCCTTTAAGCCTTTAATCCTAGCACTCTGGAAGCAGAGGCAGGCAGATCCCTGTGAGTTCAAGGCTGTGCCTAGTCTACAGAGCTAGTTCCAGGACAGGCTCCGAAGCAATGCAGAGAAACCCTGTCTTGGAAAACAAAACAGACAAAAAACTTAAAATATGCAAGTGTTTATGTTTATCAATTCATCCTAGAGACAAGTTTCTCTTTTAAAAAGAGTGCCTGTGTATTTTCAGAGTCTTTAAAAGGTAGAAAAGAAGCTGTGTGGTGGTGGTGCATTCCTTTAATCCCAGCACTCAGGAGGCAGAAGCAGGTGGATCTCTGAGTTGGAGGACAGCCTGGTCTACAGAGTGAGTTCCAGGGGTACATATGAGAAACCTTGTCTTGAAAAACAAACAAGAAACAACAATAAATAGGAAAGAAACACCCCAGAAGTCTCAGTTAGGGCATTTTTGTTTGGACTATGTTGATTTAGCCTGATTCTCAGACTCCTCCAAGAGAGTATAGTTAGCCAGTATGGTAAGGTCCGACTTGACTTTTCATTCATACATCTGTAGATTTAATTCAGACTTTCTAAATGACTTCATGCACACTCATTTATTGTATTCTAAGTATACTCTTCACCTAACCAGCTCCATACAGTCTCTGAATCCACATGGGTAGCAGCAGACTTTGCCCCCCTCCTTTTTGTGCCTCTCCTATGCTTTCCTCTCCGATGTACCACTCCCCCAAATCCCACCACTGCCACTTTTGATAGCCAACATTCTACTCAGTACCTCAGATCAAAAACTTGGAAGGAAACCTAAAGCCCCTTATTATAAACTCTTTAGTTGGTCACTTGGCCTAATCCAGCTCTTAGTTTTGGTTGATCTGTGTGGAAATGACAGAACTTGACAATCATCAGCTTATATGGGAAAGATAATATCTTAAATCCAAATATCCAGAAGCCCCCGAGATAGTTCAGCAGCTCAGTCGTGTCATTAAGATTTTGCAACCTCCTACTCTTCTGTACTCAGCTTGCTAGCATTTGTCTTTGTGTCCCCAGAGTTGCAAAGTTACTGCCATAGCACTAAGTTTGGTGCCATCATATAACAGAATGTGGAAGTGAGATGTAGGGAGGGGTCTACCCGTACCCCTATTTTAACAGAAAGAAAAAGCTTTGGCAGAACCACCCTCTTCCCTGCAGAGATTGCCTCACATGTAACTATGCTGAACCTGAATAAGTGGTCACTTGCTTTCTAGCCTTTGTAGGCAAGTTTTAGAGAGCTAGCATTGAACTTGATTAGGGTGTCTGTCATACATTTGAATTGTGTGTCTTCATGTATGCACATGTGGAAGTCAAACAACCTCAGGTGTTCCTTGGTTGCTGTTCCACCCTGTCTTTATTTTATCATCTTCTTCTTATTTCTTCTTCTCCTTCTCCTCCTCCTCCTCTTTTTTTTTAAATGGGTTTCTGACTGTCCTAGAACTCACCCAGTTGGCTAAATTGACTGGCTAGTGAGCCCCTGGTATTCACCTGTTTCTGCCTGTCCTAAGCAGATATTACAAAAACTATCATTCTTGGGGCTGGAGAGATGGCTTAGCAGTTAAGAGCACTGGGTGCTCTTCTGGAGGACCCAGGTTCAATTCCCAGCACCTACATGGCAACTCACAACTGTCTGTAACTTCACCTGCAGGGCATCTAACACACACACACACACACACACACACACACACACATACGCATATGCAAACAAATCACCATCGCACATAAAAATTAAATATTTAAAAACAAAACAAAATAAAAACAAATATTATCATGCTTGGCTTTTTCTTTTTTGGGGGGTAAGGTAGTCTCTTCTATGTAGCAGTGGCTGTTCTGGTTCTTACTATGTAGACCAGGCTAGCCTGGAACTCACAGAGATTCTCCTACCTCTGCCTCCTGAGTGCTAGGATTAAAGGTGTGTACTGCCATGCCTAATGGCTTTTGTTCTTGGTTGTTTTGTTTTTTTTTTTTGCTTTTTCCCCAGAATGTAAATTCTGGAGATCCGAGTGCAGATCCTCATGCT